AAACTCTTTTATATTTTCCTGAAAATGACTTCTGTTACGATGCCTACAGACAAGGTCCTTGTCCTTCAGAGCATTATTTGGTACTAGATCCTGGAGAAACAGTTGCAAAATGTAAAAAAATGTGTATATATTAGATGGTCTTGTTCCATTTAAAGACAAATGCTGTTTTCTTTGGAATTCTGAATTGCCTTGTGAAAAACAATTCCATAAATTAACAATCAATAAAGATACTTTTGAATTAGAATGCAGTCTAAATTCATATAATGGTAGCTGGTCAAATTTGGTAATTTGTGAAAATTTTGTTATTATTTCATTTTATTAATAAAGCTATTTTTCATATCATTGAAATTATATTTATTTATTTATTTCAGAAAAAGTCGAAATCCTGTCCTGAAAATGCAATACTTGTTCCTCTGGATGAAAATGAGTCAAAATGGAATTGTGGTTGTGAACCAGGTTTTCTTCGTCATGCAAAAAATAATTCTTGTCATCAAGCATTTAGACAAGGTCCTTGTCCTCAAAATCATTATTTCATTCTTCCTTTAGGAGAAGATGAAGCGAGATGTGAAAAAAATCCGTGCCTTGAAGATTCACTAGTTCCATTTAACCCTTTGGCTGTCAACGAGATTACCACTGTTTGGGCCAAAAGTGTGTTGAAAAAAATTTTAATGGATTTTTATGAAACTTGGTACCCTAAGGTTTCTGGGGTCGCTGATTACGAATCTGACATCAGTTTTTCGAAATTCAAAATGGCGGATCCAAGATGGTGGAAATTTTTTCCAAATTCGTCGAATTTGCTTGAAACTTGTTACTCGGGGGTTTTAAGGGTCGCTGATTACGAATCTAACATTAGTTTTACAAAATTCAAAATGGCGGATCCAATATGGCGGACAACGAAATAAAAAATTGATCAGATTGGCTTGAAACTGAATACTTGGGGATTTTCAGGGTCGCTGATTACGAATCTAAAATCAGTTTTTCAACATTCAAAATATCTGGTTCAATATGGCGGAAATTTTTTTAAAATTTATTGAATTTGTTTGAAACTGGTTAATATGACATCAGTATGATAATTTTTGGTGAAATCGAATTTCGATAAATACCCTAGAAAAATAATGACAGATTCGTAATCAGCGACCCTAATAACCCCGAGTATTCAGTTTCAAGCCAATCTGATCAATTTTTTATTTCGTTGTCCGCCATATTGGATCCGCTATTTTGAATTTTGGAAAACTAATGTTAGATTCGTAATCAGCGACCTAAAAAACCCCCGAGTATTACGTTTCAAGTCAATCTGATCAATTTTTTATTTTGTTGTCAGCCATTTTGGATTTTGGAAAACAAATGTCATATTCGTAATCAGCAACCTCGAAAACCCCCGAGTAACCGGTTTTAGGAACATTTAAGAAGTTTTTAATCAGTTTTTTTAAGTTGCGCATATATGCGTCATGAAACACTTTTGGCCAGTTTAGTTTTGCGCATATATGCGTCAGCGACAGTCAACGGGTTAAAGAGCATAAAATTTTTAAATTTGGATCGCCTTGTTCTAGTTCATTTTATTATCTGGGAGTTGACGAAAAGAGTTTCCAATTGAAATGCATTTATTCTAGACATCATTCTGGAGGTCCCAGCGCCGGCGGAATTATTACTGCTCCTCTTAAAGCTTGTCCTCCTGGAAGTAGAAGAATAATAATAGGATGTAAACGCGCTTTTCAATAAAACATTTCAGCAGATAATTCTTATTTTTTATATTCTATACTCTAGCAGTAGAAACCTGACTGCGAAATAAAATACTATTTGTAACTTTCAATTATTCTACAAATGATAATGCGTCCTCATAGGAAGCTGTACTAACTTCAATTGTAAATTAACTGTGCTTGCAAAAACTAATATTAATATATTACATTAATCTCACTATAATATTAAATAAATAATAACATTATTTCATAACTTTACAGTAACGTACTTTACAATAATTGCACAAAAAATTAAAAAATCAGAATTTTTATTTGATTTAACTTTTATTTTATTAACAATTTTAAATATTTAAATACAAATACATTTATTGCAGCAGAAAATAAAAGTTAAGATAGCTAGTCAACTGAATAATAGCACATTAGTTACAGATGCTTTAAAAATTTGCCAGGATGATCTAAAACTTTCAGATTTCAAAAACTATCAAGCGACAATAGAATTTATTAAAATTGTTAAAGACTTTTTTGATATTTTTAATTCTATATATTTAAGAAGTAAAAGTTTCAAAAAAGTTTTATTTTCCAAAAGAAAGTTTTTTTTAATAAATTAGATTTCATTTCAAATTATATTCAAAAATTAAAATTACCAAACTGTCAGCTATACAAGCGGAACGAGATATTCAACTTATTATTGTTATGCAAATTACAAAAATTTTTATTTTGAAAATTTCACGAAAGAATTCAATTATTTTCAAAACAATTTTCATTGAATTCCTTGGATGAATTCAAATACTTTTAAATATTTTTATAAATTGCAATTATTTCCTAAAACTTTAATAAATTCTTCGAAACATTTCAATTATCTTTATAAATATAGTCAAATTCTTCGCAAGAAGTCAATTATTCTCAATACAATTTTAATAAAATTCAATAGCTTTTGAAAATTTTAATTAAAATTGTTAAAGAAACTCCATTAGTTTAAAAAAAAATTCATAGAAATTTTTCGAAAGAGTTTTATCAGGATTTTTAAAAATACTTATAAAATTCTTCGCGAGAATTTAGTTACATTTCTAAATAAAGAAATTCTTTGAAGAAATTCTATTATTATCAAATTTTTTGATAATATTCTTTGCAACGATTCGAAGATTTTCAATAGATTACTTTTAAAATTGAAAATATTTTAAAAAAAAATTATAAAAAATTTAAGAAACAAAAAAGTAAACAACAACTAACTTTAAACTGCGAATAGGTTACCGGAACATGTACTTTTTTATTATTAATTTATAAATATTATTTTTAACTGAAATGTTTTGACATTTTTTTTAAATAATAAAAATATTAATTTAGGAATATTTATGGGTTATTATTATATTATTAATATTGTTAATATTATTATTAAACAATTTATTTATTTGCTGTAGTGTATTAGTGTCAATAAATGCTTTATTAAATTACTCAACAAGTCACTAAAAATAAAGCGTCTGTATTCAGTTAGGTTCCGTAGCATAGTGGTTAGGGTGTTAGTTTTGTAGTCCGTAGGTCGTAGGTTCACGTCTCGCATGCGTTAGATTTTATTTATTTCGTAGGTTTGCGTTTAATCCGATTTTTCTGTATTGTATAGGTATAAGTATGCAGTTTAATGATTATATACACCGTTAAATAATTTAATTAACAAATATTTAATTTTAAAAAAATTTTTTTATTTATAATTATATAAAGAAATAAGTTTTAATCTCCACATATATACTAACATTATTTATGAATTCGCTATTGGTCACAATTAAATTAAAAAAAAGTAAAAATCATTAAATAATAATGTCATTTATTAATAATTGAACTTATTATAAAAATTAGTTCTAGGATAACACCTGCTTTCCCTTTTTACCATCTAAATATGTCGCTAACCAGGGGTTTGCAGGAGATAATCAGAGTTAACTTGCAATGCAAATAAACTCTGCTTTCATCCTATTACATCCTTAAAAACCCTCAGTTTTAAGGATGTTAGCAGGTCTAAAAGTACGACTCGGGTTACTTCTTTAAATTAAAAAAAAAATTTTACCTCACAATGCTGAACAATGTTAGAGGAACTCAGCACCTTCAAGAGAAATTAGGTTTTGAACGCGAAAATGCAAAAATAACACACTGTGCGCCGTTGAACAGTATAAGTATCACTGTTTTATCTTCATCTGCTTCAGTAAAAGCTCTCTGTATATTATAGAGTTGATACTGTCATAAAAATAATACCTGCATTACGGTTACTGAAACAATTTTGAAATGAATTATTTCGAAAAAGAATGGTGAAAGCTTAAAATATTTTTGAATAATTAACTTTGAAAAAGAAAGCTTAATGCTTAAAAATAAAATATTTTTCTAATAGTAGAAGATTTTGAGTAGAGGTCCAGGGCGCCGTTTTTTAAATGCCAATAACTTTTCAATATTTGCTAAAAATACACTCTGCTGTTAGTAAATCAATGCATTTTTAAATGTTCTATATAATTCGTTATAATTATTTAAAACTAACACAAAGAATTTCAAACAGAAATTTGAAAAAAGTCGTACTATTAAAATTTTTTAATTTTTTAAAGGTTTATATTTTTAGTTAAGATGGCTCAAAGATGTTGAATAAAAAGTCTACAGATGCGTATTAAAAAACTTTAAAACTTTTCTATCTCTGGATAAAATTATTGTACAATGTTCGCTAACAAGTCAAAAGAAGTGCCTTAAAAAATCTATGAAATAATATAAAAATAATTTAAAATAATATTTTGTAAAAGTTTTGGGAAAACTTACAAAAATTATTCTAATATTTCGTTGAAACCATTTATATTTAAGTTGTTCCCAAAAAGGAGATCTACAAATTAGTAAAAAAAATTTACTGTAATAACTTTAATAGTTTCAAAGATATATGCCAAAGCATCGGGAATTTTTTTAAACACGATTTTTGAGTACATACCTGACGTTAAAAAAGACCAAAATCAATCAAAAAGTTAGTTGAAAATTATCACTAAAACAATTCTTTCTATGAGAAAGTAATGATAATCCGAATATTCTATTATAAACTTTAATATATTTAACTTTAATTTTGTAAAGTTATACATGTTAAGAGATGAAAAATGATGAATGATTCGCATCTCTTATTCAACGCAAAAATTAAGTTCAGTGGGGAATTATAAAAACAATCAAAACACAATTAAGTAATTTTCCTATTTTTTCAAATAAAATACCGGTTTTCCTTGAATAATGAAGCATGCAGTTTTACCAACAGATATGCAGAGTCTTCGTTAATATATAAATGGATATACAAAGTATACCTTCACTTTCTTGTCTATGAATGATCTATCACTGATCAACAAAATTGACGTAAAATTTAAATTAAAAAATTAACTTAAGAACTGTTTGTTGATAAGCGAAATTAAAATGAAATTATTTTTTGTAATCAGTATTTTTCTGCCTCTTTTCTACCAAATTTCAAGTGGCTTAAATACGGTAAGCAATAAAATTTATTTACAGATATTGTATATATTAATTACTTATTAAATAAATGGAATTATTTCTAGTCTTAAATGGATATATTTTAAATTAATTTTGCAGTTAATTATTTTTGTATTGTTCAACATGGCTTGTTTGCAGTAAAGTTTTAGCCAACATTTTTTAATTATGGTTAATTTTTTTTTTCATTTAACATCCAACTTCAAAATAAAGAATTTAAATTAGAAATAGAATTTATCACTCTGTGAAACATTATTTTACATATGTAAGATGAATTTATGAAGTTTTCAAGTCAAACTGTTAATGTAATAAAATAACGTAAGAATTTAACGCACTGTCACACAGTGAAACAAATCGCAAATCTAGCTGGACAAAATTCGTAGCTCAAAATTTTTTAAATGAATTTTCATGACAATTTTTAGCTAGGGGTTTTTGGGATCGCTGATTACGAATCTGACGTTGGTTTTCAAAAATTCAAAATGGTTGATTCAATATGGCGGAGGATTTTTTAAAAAGTGGTCGATACCTATGAAACTCGGTATCTAGGGGTTTTTGGGGTCGCTGATTACGAATTTGATGTTGGTTTTCCGAAATTCAAAATGGCGGATCTAATATGGTGGACAAGTTTTTCAAAAAATGTCTGATTTGTATGAAATTTGGTATCTTGGGGTTTTCGAGGTTGCTGATTACGAATGTGATGTTGGTTTTGAACAATTAAATATCGTGGATTTAATTTAATAAATATGGTTGATGAATTGTTAAAAAGTAGATGGGTTTATATAAAAACTTAGCTCTGGAGACTTCTTTGGCTGCTGATTATACAGTATTTTTATTACTTTCTTTGAAATAAAAAATTCCGAAGTTTTAACATCAAAACTTTAAATGATAAAACTAACTTAATAATTTTAAAAAAGAAAAATAGTTACAGTTGACTGAAGTGAAGTCAAACAAACATTATTTCTTAATCATCATTGTTTTCGTCGTCTTGATTAATTTCAAAATTCTCTAGAAGTCACAATACATCAGGCGAAATGCTATCGCTTTTCTTTGGTTTCTTAACTCAAGCACTGGTTATGCGACGATCTGAAGAAAGTAGTAACATGTTTATCAAGTCACTCATTGGCTGTTTTCGGCACTCGCCCCGAGTTAACTCCGGGTTAATGGTGATTGGTTAGACCAACAGAATGTTTTTGATGATTGGATAATAGTTAACTCGGGGTTAATCCTGGATGAGTGCCGAAAACAGCCATTGTATCACTTCTGAAAAATTTTCAGGTGTGATATTCCCTAAAGTTTTTATAATCTTTACAGCTTCTTTTATTATCCTTGGACCATGAATAAGTAGCTTGTGGATACTTTGTGGCATGTGATACCACTTATATTCCTTCACATAAAGTTCTGCTATTTTAGAGCAATATTTTTCAAACGCATCAATATTGATACTAAATCCAATGGAAATTGTCTTTAAAATCGTAGAAAATCTTCTAATAAGCTCTTCGTCAACATCTGTTATATCTGCTGCAACATATCATTTACTACTTTCCACCCGCCTATTATACCAGTTGACATTAATAGCTTGAATGGCCGCGACTTTATTTTCATCCGAATCTTCAAACATTAGGGAAAGCGCAACCGAAATGTTATGCATTGACCCTTTTCTATGTATGATTTTAAAATCATACTCCAATAGTTAAAGTGAACAGCGGGCTAATCGTCCAGTTGGATTTCAAAGATTTTTTAACCATCTTAGACTACTATGGTCGGTTATCACCGTGAAGTGATAACCTTCCAAATAAAACCAAAACTTTTTAATTCCCCAGATGACTGCCAAGCATTCTTTCTCAGTTGTGGAGTAATTGCGATCTGCATCAGAAAGAATGTGACTAGCGTAAGCGATTACACGCTCTTGACCATCTTGTACTTGAGTAACTACAGCACCTAAGCCGAAGTAACTAGCATCTGTTTGGATGCAAAAAGGGATTTTAAAATCCGGGTATCCCATTATTATTGGGGGAGAAGTTAATATCTTTTTCAATTCATTGAACGCATTATTTTTTTCGTCGGTCCATTTGAAAGGTTGTTTCTTTTTAGTTAAACGCGTTAGTGGCTCACATATTCGAGCGTAATTTTTAAAAAACCTTCTATATCAAGAAGTGATTCCAATGAACCAGCGAAGTAGATGCAACGTTCTCGGTTGAGGAAAACTTAATATGGGGCGAACTTTATCATCATCGATTGGTAAACCTTTATGATTTATTACAAAGCCTAAGTATTTTGCCTCAGGTACACAGAAGTTACATTTATCCGGATTAAGCGTTAAACCAGATTTTGTCAATTTATTAATGACTCATTCTAACCATATCAAATGCTACTCATACGTTTCTGTCGCTATTATCAGGTCATCTAAATATGCGAATACGAAGGGTTTCATATCAGGAGTTATTATTTTATCAATAAGCCTTTGGAATGTGGCTGGTGCTCCACGAAGACCAAAAGGCATTCTTTTGTATTGCATTAGCCCCAATCCTGGCACAAAGAAAGCAGTTTTTGCCTTACTTTCTTCGCTAAGCGGTATTTGATGATATCCTAATTTTAAATCTAATTTGGAAATATACTTATCAGCGCTAAGTTTATCCAAAATTTCTGCCGTGAACAGTAAAGCATGTGAATCTTATCTGTTACATTATTAACTTTTCTAAAATCAATGCAGAGACGGTAGGTACCATCCGGCTTACGAGCCATTACAACCGCATTACACCAATCACTATTTGATGTTTCTAATATTCCTATTTTAATGAGTTCTTTAACTAATTTAATGAACTCCTCGCATACTTTAGGCGACATGCGATAATTTTTCTAAAGAATTGGAGCATTATCACCTGTATTTATTACATGTTATACCAATTTAGCTGGGTCAATTTGTCTGGGACCGGAGCAATTATTCTTTTTAAAAGTACGTCGAGATGCTTTCTCTCTTTGTTAGTTAATTCGACTAATCCTGCACACGAATTATCACTATTCGGCTCGCCTTTACCAAAGTCTACCCTAACAACTGGCTTATCTGATGCCCACATTTTCTAATCATTAATTTCAATTACACAGGCACACAAAAAAAAGTCAAAACCCAGAGGTCACACCCCCCTATCCCCATTTTTTTGGGGTCGCTGAAACCGAATAAGACCATTAAAACTTTTTCCATTGGCCATTTTGCCGCTACCACCCCCTTACACCTGCTCCCGGGGGTTGAAATTTCAGTTTAAAAGGAAGTGGAGTAGGGTATTTATTCCTATGTTTTTTAGGTCGCTAAAACCAAAAAAGACTACCAAAAACAAATTCTTCCCTCCCTTAACCCCCTACAACCCCGGGTGAGGGGTCGAAATTCGAATTTTCACAAAAAGTCGATTACGCTGTCTAAACCTACGTTTTCTGGGTTTCTGAAACCAAAAAAGACTACTAAAATGAAATCCTTTCCACCCTAAACCCCCTACAACCCTCTGCAATAATTTTTGATAATTAATATTTAATTTTCAATTTCGCAAAAATCGATCCGTTTTATTTGAAAAAAATTATTGCAAAGGATTGTAGGGGGTTAAGGGAGGGAAGAAATTGTTTTTGGTAGTCTTTTTTGGTTTAATCGACCCAAAAAACACAGGAATAGACACCCTACTCCACTTTTTTTAAAACTGAAATTCCAACCCCCGGGAGCAGGTGTAAAGGGGTGGTAGCGGGAAAAAGCCCAATGAAAAAATTTTTTAATAGTCATATTCGGTTTCAGCGACCCCAAAAACATGGGGATAGAGGAGTGTGACCTCTGGGTTTTGACTTTTTTTGTGTGCCTGTGTTATTATTCCAAATGTTCGAAAAAATCCATACCTAATATACAATTTTGGAAATTTTAATAAATTTAATTTAATTTTATTTAATTTTGGAACTATTCAGTTGTATATTTAATTAGTTATTCCCGCGAAAATTATAAGCAAAAAACTTTCACCAATAATAGGCTCTTTAGTACAGTTCGCTAATAGAACGCTACTTTGTTTGTCATTATTTATTTTATAATTATTCAAATGAACCATAGATTCTCCTACCGAACGTACATAAGTTCTACCTAAACCCGTATCAACTAGTGCTTTAATTTCTGAATTTCCTATTCTAATATTTAAATAAATAATAATATATATAAATAATATAATAATATAATATATATAAATATATATATATCAATAAACATTCTTTTATTTATGTAAGGTTTTGAATGGGAACTGTCACCGCCTAATGTATTAATTTTAGTTCTCTCATGTCCTAACTAACAAGCTAGGTTGGGATCCCCGCCAATGGCTGTTCACTGCCAAACATCGTCGATGTCTTCGATGTGCTGGGATTAATGGATGCTTATCCACTGCCAGACATGATTGACATCATGAATATGTTCGGTAGACTTGCCGTGGTGGCGGGGCTTTTTACTAAAAGACAACCAAACAGAAAGAAATGAACATGATGAGCGACCGTCAAAAAGAGGAATACCTGCAGGGTAATACTTCAGTTAAGGGACCATTTACACCTTCGGTAAACATTTCCAGAACGGAAAATTTTTCATTGGAGTAAAAGTGACAGACTGTGTATTTGACTCTCTTACTCCAATGCAAATTGTCCTTTTTGGACAATTTTTACAGAAGGTGTAAACGCTCCATAAATACCTCACCGGTTCCGATTGTCAAACGCCTAGCGTGGGGTCAATAACCGGTAGCTTGTGGATGCAGGAGGGCAACGCCGCACTGAAGGTTCCACAGATCATCGTGAAGAGGTTGGATCCACAAATCATCGTGGACACAACAAGACGAGAAAGTGGAAATAGTCTACAGAGTGTGTGGCAGCAGCGGGAGGTCCGCATTCAGCCCCGTACACTCGGAAGTGGATGACGAGGCGATCAGAGAGAATCGCGAGGACAGCCTTCGATTGAGAAAGAAAGAAGCATTGTGTCTTGAAAAGATACTAAT